TTCTCTTTCCTCTTAATGATTTGACTATTTTAAGATTTTAAAATCGACAAGTTTTAGATCTTTTAATGTAAACACCCCCAGTGAATTATTTTGGGGAAAGAGGCATAAAAAACATACAAAGAAAAGGTATCTATAAGCTCTGTGAGGAAGGGAACATATGAGTGGGCTTCATAAAATTTATGGGAAAATGTTATTATCTTTTAACTCCATTTTTCCATTAACTTTTTGAAGCTTTCTCATATAATCCTAATACAGCTAATATAGAATTTTCTATGGAATCCTAATGTGGTGCTGTAGGATAAAGAACAGGACTGCAAGGTCGATGGTTCAAACTCACCAGTCGCCCCCTAAGTGAGAGAGATAACAACAAATGATAGGCATTCAAAATTAATAGCTGTTTAGTTATCTTTAGTTCCTCTTCTGTAAGGAATTCCATCCTAACCTGTAGCTAACAGAAAGCAGTATTTGTTTAGTTTTGTGATAAGAGGAAGGTGGGAAAGTTGGTTAATATAAAATAGCTGTAGGTGACAAACCACTATGGGTCAGAACCAACTCAAAGGCACAACAGCAAAAAAGGTGACTAATAAATGCTTGGCTCTATCAAGCTTTTGGATTTGGAGAAAACAGTTTACCTGGTTTCCAGGTTTGACCAGGCGTAAGGCAGCCTCAGCACAAAGGTGAGCTGCCTTAATGACATCTGCTTTCCGCCCTGTTACTGGGGTCCCCTGAAGACAAGAGAAGGAAATGAAATTAAAACTTTCTTTAGTTCTTCAACTAAGCTAGTCTTTCGGATAATATCCATGTATCCATTATGCAAGGCCAAAAGTAACCTATCTCCTTTTGCTTTTGTAGAGATTCAAAGCTTATGTGGTGATAGGCATATCCCCCTCGCCATCCCATGTTGAAAAAAAAGAGTTCAAGGCAGAATACCTACCTCAGCTACATCAATCACAAAAGTGTGAGCCACGTTAGCAATGAAGCCATCTACATGGACCCCAAGGTCACTGCAAAACAAGAATAGAGTACAATATTTGAAATGTGTGAACTTAGGAATTAGCACTACATAGATGCTTAACAGGGAGGCAAGTGGCCTATATTGATTTAAGCTTACATTTTTACCAAATCACCTTCCTTGAGAATATAGTCCTGGTCACTCTTCAAAGGGGAGAAGTGACATACACAATTATTTACTGAAATGCTGGTGGGAAAGGCAATACCTGTAAAGAGAGAATTTCAATTAGCCTACTTCACCACTCTCAGGACCCTGCTGTCCCTCAGACAAATTGAAGGATTTTCATCACTATCATGCTTAAGTTTGTAATCAGTATGGGTTAGGGAGACAACTGTTTATATCCCACCCTGCTATTTCAAATTTCCAAATATCTCAACCAGAGGTGGGATTAAAATGAAACCAACAAACAAAACATTCAGAACTAGATAGGTGAAACAAATGGGGCTTTTGTTTTGTTTTACCTTTCTTCATTTCTTTTTCTTTCTTGAAGATTTTCCCTGTCTCTTCCATAATCATGGCATCACCTTTTTCACATAGGCTCAATACCGACACACCTGAGCTGGAAGCTTCCACCAAAGACCGAAGTACTCCTGGGGATAGAGTCCCACCATGTCAACTTTACATATTATTTAGTTACCACCAAGTAATACTTTGAAGTTGGACTCGTGATTCCTAATACATCTTGGTACCAATGTCTTGAGGCTGAAAGAGGGAAGGAATTTTACCTTTTGGAATGTATCTACCAATAATCTTTAATTTCTACCTTCCCTTTCTAAAAAAGGTCAACACTCTCTTCCCTCTTTTACATGTGACATATGGGTATACATAATCTGTCTTCCTAGCAAGGCTCTGAACTTCCCAAAGATGATACCTTTGGTGTGGCAGGACAGTTTATGAACTTAAGGGGGATTCTGGCCAAGGTATCCAACATACATGCAAAGCAGACTACAAGAAATTTATAGGCGTCAGGAACAAGAAGGTACACAAAGTTGCTGACTCAAAGGTGATGCATTGCTAAGTATTACCTTCTCAGACAACCCAATTAGTTGTTAGTAATCTCAATTGATGCATACTTATTTCCTCATAAGCATTTATGCGCACTTACTCTATCTAAACTCCCTGAGTTTCAGCCAACTTAACTTACAACATATAGCTTATAACTTAACAGCAGATCTCAAAAGAGTTATATGATCCCAAAAGTTTCAAAATCGGAATCTGCTTCATAAGTGCCTCAGAAGTTATAAACTTCTGGAAAGAACATGGAAAAAGTATTAAAAATAAAGGTAATAAACTCAATGACCATTATGTTATGAAGTCTTGTTCTGGTTCACTGGATGCCTTCTCTATACTATAGTTCATTCTAAACTTCAGGTTAGAGTTCTGAGATCTAAGTTTTATTAAGTAATGAATGGCTTTGGAAGACTGAGGGGCGGGGGGGAGAAGGGGGACACAGCTACTTCAGTCAGAGGGTCAAAAGCATTCTAATTACATCCTCCCCAACTATTTCTCAGTCTAAATCATTTAAAAGCCTATGGACAAGTAGTTTTGTCTCTCTAACTGGGTTTTTAAATGGAAAGGTGAACTGGAAAGAAAGTAGAAAGTGAGACACTTGCCTAGAGCGGCTGGCAGCTGCTGAGAAAGCCAGCACAGTCCTTCTAACAAGGATGACTTCTGATAATACTGAACTCAGTATCCCCCTTTCTAGTACTGTTCACGAGCTTGCCTATCTGGGTTGGAGGAGGGCACCTCAAAACTCTTCCAGAGCTGTCAAGTTCCTAAGAGCAATCAAAATTTTAAGCTAACTAAGGCTATGTGCACAGATTGGAAGGTAGTAGTAAAGAGTAACTTCAAGGGAAACCAGTCAGATTTCCAAAAGTTCTGTTACACGCTCCAGGGGTGCCCTCCAACGGTCTCCTAAGTTGGCCCAAAGGTAGAAGGGGGCCCCTACCAGGAAAGGAGGTGAAGCAAAGAAGGAAAGACTCCAGCCAAGCACGTGGTGGGGAAGCAAGCTGGTGTCAGGGACGATAGCAGAGGGAAAGGGGTGCCAGCGATCCGCCCCGGGACCGAGCAACACGTGCCAGTTCGGCTCCTGACGCCCAGGAGCAGCGACACAACAGGGGCGCTTCCGTGGCCAACAGCTGGGCGCTTCCTTCCCGAGGTCGCCTCGCCGCTGCCAGAATCAGAAGAATCAGAGATCCCGGACCGAGGCCCGCCGAGTCCCCGACACCACCGTTTCGGAGAGGCCCGGAGGACCAAGGGGTGCAGCGCAGGAGACGCGCTTTGCCCCAGCACCAACGGCCTAGTGTCCAAGGCAGCCAAGGACCCCGCTCAGCGCTCTTTCCCGCCGCTAGCCCACACGTCCAGACTCCAGCCCAGGCCTGGTCGCTCAAGTCCCCGGAGCAGCTCGGGGTCTTTCCACCACGCCGCCCACAGTGGACCGACATGGGCTCCTCAGTAGCTCATTCCACACAACCTCGCCGCTCCAGCCACTCAGGAGCCTCGCCCCCTCAGCTTCGAACCCCAGACCCCTAAGGACGCACTCACGGTTGGCAATGTCGCCCCCCATCTTATACTTGGTGACGACCAGGTCTTCGGCAATAGTTTGCTCCTGCTGCTCGTCCTCGCCCGACATCTTCTCTCCACTATCACCACCGCAGCCTCGCTTCCCCTGAGCCGCCGCCTCTGTCTCTCTTCCCAGCCACAGCTTGTGGCCAGAGTCCTCGATCCGCGAGGAGAGCGCGAACGAAAGCGCGAGCAAACCAGGGAGCGGGCGGGCAGCCGAGAGCGAGAAGCTGCGAGCGCGCGGGCTGAGCCGTAGGGCACGCTGGGACAACGAGTTTTTCACCACCAGCTTCTGGTCGTCCTTCTGTACTCTTGAACTACTATTCCCAGAATGCCTCTCGCGTCTCTAAGCCCTGGGGCCTTGCCCTCTAAGGGCCTCGCACGCCGGAGTCGCCGGGCACGCTGGGAAGGGTCAGACACCGGCGGGAAGGCGGAGCCGTTGGGGAGCATGAGAAGCGTGGTCTCTCCCAGAAAAACCACTTCTACCAGGGTCGCCGAGTTACAGCCCGTAATAAAGGGGGGCGGGCTGAGGGAGATGGGGTGGAGCTACGTCTGGAAACTAGTTTTGATGGCAGAGGGGCAGGGTGGAGCCGAGGTGAGTGGGTAGTGTCTACTCATAAACCTGGAGGCACGCCCTTCTCAGGACCCCAGGGGTGGGTGGTGGGACCAACCCAGCAGGTCCAATCCTGTCCCTGGTTGTTGGGAGACTGGGAAGGTGTGGTGTGGGAGGAGATCAAGAGATCTGTATTATGCTTTCATATCCTTGTAGTTCTGGTGTGGTAAGCACCAGCCCTTACTGCGATTCAAACTCACCATTTGTTCCTTAAAATCCTATGCTGGGTCACTATGAGTCAGAACGGACTCCACAGCACTTAACGACATTCTTGGGGGCTATGGAATCCTGGTGTGGCGCTGTGAGATAAGCACTGGACTGCTAACCGAAAGGTCAGTCGGAAAGGTCAGTCGTCCAAACTCACCAGGCACTCCTCAGAAACACTATTTGTCGCTATGAGTGGGAATTTAACAATCTAGAGGCTGGACTCTTACTGGAGTTGTTATATTCTGTTCTATAGTGTTGCTATGAGTTGATACAATGTCATGGTAGTGAATTTACTTTAATGGTCAGAAGTTCAAACCCACCAGCGGCTCCTCGGAAACCAAGTACAGACTCGCTGAGTCAATAGGAACTGGCTCAACGACACTTAACAGCAACAACAATGGAAGTCTGGGCTCCTGATGTGGCCTTGCGGGTTAAAGTGCTAGACTCCAAGGTCAGTATGAACCACAGAGTCGGCGGTTCAAGCTCACCAGCAGCTCCTTGGGAACTTGCCGAGTCAGAACCAACTCCATGGCATTTAACCACCACAACAAAGGGAAATCTGGATTCCTGGTGGTGTGGTGCTGTAGGATCAGCACTGGACTGCGAGCCACAAGGTCGGCAGTTCAAACCCACCAGCTGCTCCTTGGAAACCCTATATGGGAAACCCAGGATCGGGCAGTATTTCCTTTCATTTTATTGTGCATAGGGTTGCTACTAGTCGGTACTGACTCTATGGCATTTAACAACAACAAAGGGAAGTCTGGAGTCCTGGTGTGTTGGATAGGATAAGCACTGGACCACAAGGTAGGTTTGAACTGCAAGATCTGAAGTTCACTCAGAAAATCCTATGAGTTGTAACCGAATTGGCAGCACATACCAAAAACAAGAGAAGTGTTCTGTTGGTGGGTTTAAACCACCGACCTTTTGATTAGCAGTCCGATGCTTAATCCACTGTAGCACCAGGAATACTTAGATGTTATTAAAGTTATCAACTGTTGCTAGACAGTAGTGCCATCTGTATGCAGTCTGTATGCTGAGCACATAATTTGAGAAGCTGGATTATATGAAGAACTTGGCATCAGGATTGGAGGAAGACTCATTAACAACCTTTAATATGCAGAAGACACAATCTTGCTTGCTGAAAATGAACAGGACATGAAATTCTTACTGATAAATATCAAATGATACAGCCTACTGAATTGCTTCTTGATGTAAAGAAAACAAAAATCCCCACAACTGGACCAATAAATAACATCATGATAAATGGAGAGTAGGCTCCTGATGTGGCCCTGTAGGATCAACGCTGAACTGAGAACCACAAGGTCAGCAGTTCAAACCCACCAGCTGCTGATCGGAAACACTATATAGGGTTGCTATGAGTTGAAACCAACTCAACAAATGGAGAAAAGATTGAAGGTTTTAAGACTTCATTTTGCTTGGATTCACAGCACTCATGAAAGCAGCACCCAAGAAATCAAATGCATTAGGCAAATCTGCTGCACTAGACCTCTTTAAAGTGTTAAAGAGCAAAGATGTCACTTTGAGGACTAAGGTATGCCTTGTCCAAGTCATGGTATTTTCAGTCACTTTTTATGCATGTGAAAGTTGAACAATAAATAAGACTGTAGAAGAATTGATGTGTTTGAATTATGGTGTTGGCAAAGAATATTGAAAGTACCTTGGACTGCCAAAAGAACAAACAAATCTGTGTTGGAAGAAGTACACCTAGAATGTTCCTTAGAAGCCAAGATGGTGAGACTATGTTTCTCATACTTTGGACATGTCAGGAGGGACCATTCACTGGAGAACATCATGCTTTATAAAGTGAAGGGTCAGTGAAAAGAGGAAGATCCTCAGATGGATTGACATTGTGGCTGCAGTAATGGGCTCAAACAATTGTGAGACTGGCTCAGGACCAGGCAGTGTTTTATTCTGTCATTCATAGAGGGTCACTATGAATCAGAACCAACTTGACACCTAACAACAATAAAGGGAAATGTTCAGAAAGATAATTACGGTCACCACCTTTTTTAAGAGAATGAGTTCTGAAGCCATTTGGGAGTTTGGTGTTCACCCCAAAGGAACACATCAGATAAAACCATCAAAAATCCTCACTTCTGGACCAATAAACAACATTATCAATGGAGAAAAGATTTCTTGGATCAACTATCAACACTCATGGAAGCAGTCAGAAAATCAAACAATGTATTGCATTAGGCAAATCTGCTGCACAAGACCATTTTAAAGTGTTGAAGAGCAAAGATGTCAGCTTGAGGACTAAGGTGCGCCTGACCCAAGCCATGGTATTTTCAGTAACCTCATATGCATGTGAAAACTGGACAGTGAATAAGAAGACTGTAGAAGAATTGATGCTTTTGAGCTATGGTGTTGGAGGAGAATATTGAAAGTGCCATGAGCTTCCAAAAGAACAAACAGATCTGTGTTGGAAAAAGTGGAGTCAGAGTGCTCCATGGGGACAGGATGACCAAACTTCGTCTCTCATACTTTGGACATATTGTCAGGAGGGACCAGTCGCTGGAGAATGATAACATGTTTGGTAAGGTGGAGGGTCAGAGAAAAAGAGGAAGACCCCCAGCAAGATGGATTGACAAAATGGCAGCATCAGTGGGCTCAAGCGTGGCAATGATAGTGAGGTTGGCCCAGGATTAGGCAGTCTTTCATTCTGCTGTGCGTAAGGTGGTTATGAGTCAGTACCGACTCGATGGCATCTAACAACAACATAAGACTTTTTCCAGTTTCCCCAATTATGTTTTTTTTGTTCTTGTTAATCCAAGTTGGTTACCCTTAGAATGCTAGTAAAAATCTTAAGTGAAAAGGACTGTGCACTATGGGTGTCTTTAGAAGTAACAAGGAAAAGGATAACTGGGGATAAGCTGTATGGGACAAAGTTGTTGATTGCTATTGAGTCGGTTCCAACTCTTAGTGACCCTGTATAGGGCTTCCGAGGAGCAGCTGGTGGGTTTCAACCAACAACCTTGGGGTTAGCAGTTAAGTGCTTATCCTTCAGTGCCACATTAGGACTCCATGGAACAAAGTGGTGGTAGTAGTTGTGTGCTGTCCAGTCGGTCCCGACTCATACTGCTTTAGGGTTTTGAGGTTAGAAATCTTTATAGGAGCAGAAAGCCTCATCTTTCTCCCATGGAGAAACTGATAGATTCAAACTGCTGACCTTTTGGTTAGCAGCCTTGCTTATAATCCACTATGCTTCCAGGACTTCTCGGGCCAATGGATGTCAAAAGGCAGAGAAGGCAGCATGTCCCTGGTTGCTACCCACTACTGAGAGAAAGAGAAAAAGAGTGGTATCTTATCTCACATACTAAAGTTTTTCTTCATTTGACAGCTAGGAGGCTGAAAAAACTTTGGCATTTTTATTTAGACATGTATAAAAACAAAACAAAAAACTTACGTGATAAAACAGACATTTTCCCCCTATTTCCTTCCCACCCAAGAGGAGAAAGGTCTAGTTAGGTTCCCTTTCGATGCCAACTCACTACTGGGTAAGAACAGCTCATAAAAATGGATCTTAAAGACTCTTGTGAGTCTGTCCTTGGGTAAGGAGTAGAGATAATTTGTAGTACTTAGGAGGGGTATGGGTTAACACGAAAATGTCCAGTTATTTTTCCTTCTGGCCTCCTTTTCTACTTCCTGAGATGAGGAATCTGGGTGTGGGAGGAGGCTGTGGTTGTTGAGATTAAATTTGATTCAGTGCAAAAACAAGAAAGCAATGCCCCTTACCAGTTTTCCATTACACTTGTAAGAGCATGCAATGCATTATAATGCATGTAATGCCTTTTGTGCATGTTAGAGCACATGCATTGAAATCAGGAAGGTTTTAAATCTCATCTGCTACTTAAAGAGATTTATTTAATCTCACTAAAGTTAGTTTCCTCATTTGTTAAAATGGAGATAATACCAGCCTTACAGAAACGTAAGGACTAAGAGATAATATTGGTGACATTTAGCCCAATGATGCTTGGCACACAGTAAATGCAAAATCAATAGTAATCATTAATATCTACTCTTAACTTCTCTTTGCTCCACAAAATTTTTAAGAGTCCCAGTCTTTTCAGGGGGTGAAAAGTCACAGGACAAAAATCTTATTTCCCCCTACCGGTCCCCCTTTTCCTCTTCTGTAGGACGGTCTAGGGAACAAAGGCATACCAAAGGGCCTAGTCCCAACAAGTCAGAGTCTGAAAGAAAAGGACATGGGGATAATCCTTCATATCTCTAGGGAGCCCCCCCTGAGTAAACTGGGGAATGAGATTGGAAAAGCACACAAAATAGGAAGAACTTCTTTCCCGAGGTTGGGAAAGAGAGAAAGTGCGCAGCTGGTTACATACCACAATAACTTTGTATCAAAGGTGTTTAAAAGCCTCCCATAGGTTGAATGGCATTATCTAGAACTG